TGATCAACCAGCAAGTTACCTGCTGGTTTTACTTTGCAGTTTTCTTCGCTACTTTAAAACTGATGCTAAAAATAATTTGAATTTTTGTACTGCAAAAGTACTTTAAACTTTGGCAATAAAAAAATGATTTTAATTAATAGTGTCTTTGCAGGAAATTAATTATCTAAAGTTAAGAATAAACTTCTAACAAATTAATCTAAAATAATTCAGATATACTGAGCTGGAACTTTTTGTATTGCTAAGAACTGATCTTTGCGTAGTCAAAAACTTTTTCAAATTTTTCAGTAAAACTAGCGGTGATAATAGTGAGCGAAGTCGAAACTATGGCATACCTATTTGCAATGCCATAACACTTTTCAATATTGGTGATTATCATCAAGTTGTGCAAACTTTATTCCCAATTCGCCATAAACTATATCATTTAGGAGGGAGTAATGCCCAGGTTAACTTGTTATTTAGAATATAAATAATTAGTAGTGATAATCTTTAGAATAATTAATTTAAATAAAATTTACCATTTTTACTTCACTTTTTTGAATTTATTTATGTATTCAAATTTTTATAATATTTCTTTAATGCATTTTTTTAATTAATCAAAAGCTGTAAGCGAAAAATTCAAAGAATAAATTTTAATAATAATAAAATATTGTCATTTGGCATAGCATACATAATCAATGTTGATTTATAATTACTAAAAAATTTGTAATAAGACTTTTACTGTTTACTGAAAGAAATGCGAAAATATCTATTGTATACATATTCTGATTTTAATTACAATCAATAATGTGATAACTCGATAAATTCAAGTAGTTACTGAAAATTTTGAACAAGAATTTTTTAGCGTGATATATTCACACAAATGCTCATACATAGTGCTTTGTCTTCAGAAGATGTAAATGACCATAAAATCGCGAAGTAAGTGATATTTGATTCTTTTCACTTAGAAAAATATCGTAGCTCATTATTTTATTATATTCACAGTTAAAAACCTAAAGATATCTGCAGTTACTGCAAACTGAAAAAATAGTTGTACTGTAAATACAATGAAACGTTACCTTATTAGCAACTTTATCAATTTCTCACACTCTTAATGCGTGAAAAACAATTTACATTAGTTCTATCAAATTCTACATATATAAATGCAAGAATTGGCTAACTAAAAATTTATATTCAGATTAAATTATTATTGCTACTCTCATTAATACCTTTGAAGTAAGTTTTTCATCAGTGGATGATAATTCATTTATATTAACAAGTTCATAACGACCTTATTGCCAAATTATCAATACTTGAAAGAGTAAAAATTCAATTAATCTTTAACGCAAAATTGTTTGCTTTAATTGAGCGCATCTCTTGACGTCATGAGAAGTTTTACGTTGCAAAATATCTAGTTAAACTTGCAGTTAAAAATTAAATATATCATCTAATTTTTTTTGGGAGGTACTGAGAACCTTGAACTGGAAATCCTTTTATCACTTTTATAGTATAATTTCATCTTATAAATTTTAGAGCATTATTAGAAGAACGAAGTGTAACGAAAAAGAATTCATTCTTAGGTGAGAGACTGTTCAAGAAGTACCAGCAATTGTGAACTGAACGTAATAACGTAATACTAAAGCCCACAGTTTGTTCTTATGCGAAACAAATTTATATATATATATATATATATACATATATATTTCTTTGAATTTATTTATTTATTTCGTCTAATATTATCATCGTAAACAAAGTCAAATTTCATTACTGTAACAAATTTTTTTAATTTGTTCGCCTTGAGAGCAGAAAAAGGATCAGATATATTTTCATGAATTATTCAGCCTTTTTACTAAAGTTTTTCTTGTCAAACAAAAATTGCTGCATAGAGAAATCCAACATCTGCATAATATGCGTATCAATTATTAGTTTGCCAAAAAAAAATATCAGAACGATAACTCTTTTGTCGACAAATATTCATTTAAATATGCAAAAAACAAGAGTGCTAGGGTATTAATTAAAGCATATATTATGCTTTATTATCATTTGTGTTTACTTTTAGAAATTACTTTTATAACGCATACTTTTTCTTTTTGAATATTTTTACAGACATAATCAATAATTGCAGTTCAAGAAGCAAAAGCAAATTTAAAATGATAATGAAAAAAAGTGTTCCATATATACAAATGACTAGAATTCGTCAGCAAATAGTAGTAATATTTAATAGAATAATAACACGTATAAAGACCATTTACAAATGCGAAAGATCAAATGAAATATAACTACATTTCACTGAAACAATGATATTTAAAGTAAAGAAAAAACAAAAAGTGACGTACTCGTAATTATTATCAGAAATGCAAAATGTCATTTACTTGATTAATCCTTTGATTTCAAGAAGCATACTCAAAAGAGATTTTTTCTTTCGTTATTGAATTGAAAATTGCTATAATTTAGTTATGGATATAAATAATCATAGATCAGTAAGAGTTTGAGACGAAAATGACTGAAATTAGTTATAAATGACATTTTAAAAATGGCGAAACAATCAAAAGAGGAAGTGGAATTGAAGATAAAGATCAGTTCATAGATAATGGAAACTTTCAAGAGATGATAATTACTTAAAATACTAATTCCACGTGAAGGGGTCGAATATTTTTCACAAATTTTTTTACAAAATATATTAAAAAGTGATCATTTAGAATCACATCTTGATATTACTTGTACGACCTAGAAGACCTTGATTTTGTTCACGTTCTTTTTGCATTTCTGATGACCTCAAACAATCAAGTAAATCATATAAAGGAATGAAATGAAATTATTGTCAAGCTCTGACTTTGCATACGATATTTAGCACGCTGCTAAATTAGTATTCTTATAGATATGATTAAAAACTGTACCAAATTTGAAAATCATAAGCATTTAAGTAACGTTGATCTTGATGCTGTATTGTGGAATATTTGAAAAAAATAATATATATATTGAATAGACTGGTGGATACTTATTCCCCGCACTTTGTCATAATCATAAGAAAGAGATCAAAATTCATTTCCACTACAATCCAGTTGTATGATCAATAAGGTAAAGGTTGCGCAAGCATAAATATCGTCAGTTGGATAAATTTATTCAGGTAAAGGAAGGAAATTTCTCTTTCATTTATTAAATTGTAATGCTGCAGGCAGCTTTTGGTACCATTACAAAAAGTTCTCAGTAGGTGCAATGTTTCAGTAGTAGTAGTATTAATCCAAACTACCTGAACTCTATAATATATATGAATCGTTCTGTGAGTTTTGAAGTTTCGAGGACTAATATAAATGATATTTGTATGTGATTAGCATTCAATTTACCAACCTGTATGATGGTGGTGGAGTGCCATGCCAAAAATTTGGTTTATGCGGTGGTTGAGGAAATTTTTTCATATCATTTCCATATGGAACGCAAGTTTCGCATACAGTGGATATTAATGGTCGCTGATGTTCCGAACTCTAAAATTTAATTTGTTGAAAACTACATGTCCTTCATGATATTTCATGACAGATTAACTAAGTGGCTAACAAGAAATAACGCTGATTCTGACTTGACAGCTAAATCATCTAAAATGTTTCACTATTTCACTGCTCTAGACTGAACTTGTGTTGAAACAGACTAGATATTTTTGTGTTGTTATTTGTGAAACTATTTTTGTCATCTTCAGTACTTGGTCGTAGTCAATTTTTTTCATACTTCATTACGGAGTTTAAAGATGAAACTGTCGTTATTTGGCTTACAACAGTTGCTTTGATGAATTCACAACTTTAAAATCAGCAAAATGAGTTTTTATGTGAAAAGCACCAATGTTATTTGTGTCGTATTTAATGAGCTAAGGCAGAAAAGTAGTCTAGAAGTTATTGATGTTTCAGGGGCTACGGGAAAAAAGCCATACGAGTCTTAGCTTCTTTCAGACACTGAACGTATTGATTGTAAATATTGACAATTCCTTGGCCAAATATGAGAAAATATTTGTGGTTGTTGTGAGCATAAGCTCATAAAATTTTTTCTCAACCCACAATAAATTGCTAAAGTTAGCATCAAGCACATTGAATCCTCGCTAGCAGTATCGAATTGCACAAGGAACGTATATGTCAACTAAGTGAAATGTTATTCCGTGTTTGAGAGAAATTTAATATCATTCATTCATCAGTACTTATACATGTAAAGTAACCGAAAAATTTGCATAATTATTTCTATTAAAGTATATATATAGAGAGAGAGAGAAAAAAAAACTTATTCAAATTATGCAAATTTATTATTTCACTATAATGATTTTAGCAAAAATTTTAAGAGTAAATCGTATCGAAATTAATTTAAAATCGAAAAACTTGAAAAAGAAGTAAATGAAAAATACATAACGAGGAAAATTGAATTGAAAACAGAAATAATATTATTTATTTAAAGAATAAATGAAATGAATGGAAAATAGCTTAAAATAATTGAATGAATTTGAAGTAATGAAGAAATGAAAAGAAAATTTAATCATAATTGCAGTGAGCTTAAGAGTTTCATTGCATAATTCATTCAATTCAAACAGCAATCATTTACTTCTGTTGTTGGAGAAGAGCAAAAAAAAGCAGAAATGGAAAAAGCATAACACGCAAATTAGCTCAGAGCAATTGAAAATAAGAGAAAATTCAACCTTCAGCAGCATATCTTGTCGTGCTTCATGCGCCTGAACAAGTTCCAGACATCTGTTCAGAGTGTTTTGATCCAAAGGCACATCCAATTCATCTTTTTTACGAAATGGAATAAATGGTCCAAAACAATCACAAAAACCACACTTCATCATCTATAAATTCATTTGGTATTATTTAGTTAAATTATCTAAAGTTTAATTTTATTCGATTTTAACATTACAAAATTAAACTTAAAATTTTCATAGCTGCTTAATAACAAAGTTGAAACAGAAATGGCAAGAAGTGATTAACAAAGTTAATTATAATATCGACTATTTTTTATGGTATGAGCTAATTTAAGTTAAAATTGCTGTAATTACGTAATTCTAAAATTATGCAAATTTAGTACATTTGACAATAATTTTGTTCATTTTCTAACTTCAACTAATTTCTAAATACTCAAAAAAATAACGAAAATTCTGATGTATAGAGTGAAAGATAACTTTAATGAAAGGTCAAAAATATGCTTCTAAAATTATTTGCAGCAATCAAAGCATAAAATTGTGGCAACTATAAAAATGCATGAAACTGTGAATAAATGTCAAGGTAAAATATGACCAACAGACAAAATATAGTATTTGTGAATTTAGAAAAGCTTAAAAGCCAAGAAACTTTTCCTTTATCATGTCGCCCAGCTGAAAATGAAGAGTAAAAAGTTGGGAAATTTTAATCAATGAAGCTCAGATTTGATCACTAACCTAATAAGGATATCATTATGGATAACCTATACTTGAATAATTATTTCACACTAAGGTAATTAACGTAAATGAATACAAAATCAGAGCCACATTACGTTTTCACAAATATGCAAGTATTCTCACAGAAACGTAGTAAATGCAAACAGATGCGTGTCCTTTAACAATTGGTTTTAAAGCAAACTTCTAAGTGAGTAAGTAGATCAGTCAGTCAGTCAGTAAGTAATTGAAAATTTTAAACTGAAATTTGCAAAGTTTCGTTGTAATTTTATCTCATATCAAATAGCTGATTAGCAAATGACGCAGGTGCTTCCGGAAAGAAAGTTAAGCGACTGATAAATTTGCTGCAAAAGACAATTTTTCTACTTTTGCTTACATATCTAATCTACTGCATAACTTTACTTCTATGCGTAAAATATGCATTTTTATGTACGTGTATGAGTGAGTTTATGTAATTAGTACATTATATGTATGCATGTATGTGTATGCATGTATGTATGTATGTATCTGTTTGTGTGTTTGTGTGTAGATAAAGGCTACGTGGTAAAAAGAAAACTCTCGAAGGCAGAAGGTTTTTAAAGCTATCTAAGCTTAAGGCTTTGCTAACAGATATCAGTGCAACGCCTATTTTTAAGCAAACTAAATTACACATACACACATACATAAACATTTACTACAAGTACATACATACGCACATATACTTTCACATACATGCTTGTGCATGTAAATATACGCATATATATA